CTAGGTGCTAGTTGTACCCATTGCTACTGATGTGTTGTTTCTAGGCCCTCAATGTACAGAGCTAGGAAACACATGCTTCTCAACACTTGTATGTATGCCCATTTATAATTGTTTTTATATTTACCCATCTGTATATCTATTAAAATCCATGAGGTCATGCTGGTACCTCTGATTCCAATCCACTGCTGCAGGCTTGATGCTAACCTCCCCTCTCCGTATTGATAGCTTCTTTCTCAGAGAATGATAAAGCTGGCTGTTGCTAGCCTTAATAATACTTATTTGCACAATCTTATTAGATACACTATATAGTTTCAGATTTGCTAACCCATACCCCTGTAAAACACAAATTTACTGGCTAGAGTACAGTATTTGTGTTCTTAAATACTCTTTTCAAGCATAACCATCATACATCTTTAGACAAGAAAAAGAAAATCCCTCTAAACATCATCAATATCCAGTAAGTATTCATATTTCCCTGTTTGTCTTATAACTTTTTTCTAACAATTTTTTAGTTTGTGTCAAAATTTAAATAAAGTCCCTGCCCTTTGTGAGAGTTAGTTATATGAGCCAATAAATTCTTCACTTTGCCTACATTAGTTTGAGTGTCTGTCACTTGTCACCAAACTGTCCTGACAAAAGCCAGGTGATTGACCAGTCAGCTCTGCCATTCCACAAAGAGCTGGAGGAAACTCTCCTGCTTCAGGAAATTATTTCAGGAGAGGAAACCAGATATAGTGAGAATATGCACATAAGTGCTCCAAATTATTTGAGAACACCCCATTATGCTGTCTAGTTATCTCTATGATATCAGATCATAGGAAATGAAAGCTCTGATAACTTTTCTTCACTGTAATTTACAAAAAAAAAAAAAAAAACCCAACCAACAAAACAAAAAAACTCAGCATAAACTCATGGCATGTCATCATATCTAATACCTAATCACTTTGCTTGTGGCTTCACCATTCACTTTCCAATTTGACAATGTGCTATGGTGATGTGCTGTAATTTTCATTTTAAGCTATACAACAGAAATGATATTACATTTAATGGCTGAATGGCTTCCATGTTACAATTAGAGCTATCCTAAGCAATGAGAGGTGGCAAATTATCCTTTAAAAACAAAATTACAGGACACTCACAAAGAACCAGCTTTTAAAATGCTTACCAACGAGGCATCCTTGAAGTGAATACAGAGTATGCTTTGCTAATTTCTACTAAACTGTTTGGATTGGGGTTAGAGTTGCTTTTGAAAGGAATGTTCTTTAGAAATCCTAGTGTTCAGAGATCAAGAGTGAAGAACTATTGGAGATAATAAAATAATTAAAATAGATTAGTAGTTATTACCCAATCATTTTTAAAATTTTAATTTAATATGGGATTCCTGTCTCTAATGAAGACTTTGTATTTAATCCTAGTAAAGTTCAATTCCCTGTGACACTGACAATTTGAAGAACAATTTTTTTAATGTGCTTTTGAAAATCATTTTGCTATTGGGTGGTTTCTTTTTCCTGTAGATTTCGCTAGACAGGAATTTTGGTTGTCATTTTAAAAATCTGCTTTTTAAATGATTTCAGTTTATTCAGTTTTTTTGAGGCATTTGCTGTTTTTCTTTCCATTTCTGCTGCTGTTGACTGTGGAACTGACTGTTTCTGGCACTTAATCAATTAAAACGTAAATTGTAACCCAGGCCATTTGTTTTATAATCAAACTTCTATGCCAAGCATATGGGAAGACCTTAGTCATGTTCCCCAGTTTGAAATTTGCACGATGAGAAGATGGTCCTGTGTGAAAGAGAAAAGTCTTTGGAATGCTCACTTCTTTGTGGCTTAGTTGAGGCATCTCAAGGACTTCCCTTCTCCTTTTGAATCAGCTTCCCAAGACCTAAAGGATAAAGGCCAGAGACATGAGACTTTTATAATAGTTATTTTCCACACACCCTCACCCCACTGCCCACCGCCCGCCCCACAACTCAATCCAGATCTGGCTTTCACTGCTCCCTGGACTCGGGGGCCATGTGCTCCCCTCTCCCTTCACTGCCAGGCACATGTCCTCTGCAAATCTGTCTCTGACCAGGGGTCCCTCCTCTGAGCTCCCAGTCCTCATTGCGTTGACTCAAATTCAACCTGTCATGTAGTTTTGTCATTATCTGCCCACTCCACTACAGCAATATTCCTCATTATGGACCACCAGACTTGCCTGCAAGCACATTCGTGGGACTTGACCATGACATACTGAAGCTCTGTCTCAGGCAGTGAGGCCATGGATTTACATTTTTAACAAGAACTCCAGAAAATTCTTAGGTATACTAACACTGGAACATTACTGCATCAAAGTGTGTACTTTAAAGGTAGGGACCAGTTCTTAATTGTATTTGTATCTCAGTGCCTCACATTCATTAGAGGATCAATAAATGCTTGACAAGAAAATATTAAACAAGATGTGGAGCCCTATACTACCCCTAAGAGGTCATCATTATCTCCAATCTGGTTGCTGTTGGCCCACTTATATTTGGGATTGAGTTAGGGATGTAGTGCCTTGCTACTCAGAGTGTGGTCCACGGACCAGCAATGTCTGCATCACCCAGAAATGCAGACTCTTGGGCCCCACTCTTGACTTACTAAATCAAAAGCTGGATTGTAACAAAAACCCATAGTGATTTGTATGCACACTGAAGTTCGAGAAGCCCTCTCCTCGGGGGCCAGAGTTACAACGCCTTCTGGGAATATAGTTGGCAGGATTTCAATCCGTTAGATAGGGAGTGATTGTTTAATGGGACCGTGGAACTTTGATCATTAAAAGATGGGTATTGAAAGATTGGATGCTTTGCAGAGAAGGTAGTGGGAAGCGATATTATATAAATTATAATGAGTCATGGAAGAATCGTGAATCCCTTTCATTGACTGAGGTTGGGTTGAGGTACTTGGGGAGAAATCTTGTTCTTTCATCTTTTCCTCCAGGATTTCCTGCAATGAACTGTGCACCTCATTCCCTTAATTATTGCAGAGTGAGCCCATTTGTAGTGACTGTGGGCTTAATAAGGTGATCTAAGATTTAGAAGCATAAATAAGCACCTTTGTGGAAAACTTGAACATTATTTAACTCTGTAGGAAATAGTCAAGGGGAACCTGAGACTTGGGTGCACAGGTCTGAGACATTTTGGGTTAATATTAAAATATTTCTAACTTCTTTAAGTCCAATCAATATGCCTACATGAGTAAGTAATTAAAAATTGTTAATGACTTCCATAGGGTTTTCCTCTTAATTGAATCTGCTTGTAAATCTTAAGCAAGAAAATGTTACTTAAGTCTTCCCATTTTCTCTTCTTTTTAAAGCACTCCTTCCATTTTGTCCCCCTCTTAGCTCTGCAGTGCAGACAGGTGAAAATCTTTCTTTCCTCTCTTTTAATTTCAGCTCAGCCAGGTTGGGGTTCTGGTGAGTTTAGTATGGCATGGATTGAAAGGAGGAATGGCTTACCGGCTACAGAGTGAGCAGGCCAATGAACACCCAAAGTAATGACGAGTCATTAAATAAGTAGAATGTTGTAAGGTAAGCGGAGAGAATTGTAGTAATCCCTTTGTCGACTGAAGACAGGCAGGCAGGTGGCCAGAGAGCCAATCTGGGAGTCAAAGAACTTGAGGGAGGCAGAAGAATCAGGAGAGCTGGCAGGCTGATGACGTGGCAGTGATGGCATGTGTGCCTCAGGCGACTGGAGCAGCAGGACTGCCTATGTGTGTGTCAGCGGCTGCCAGCCAGGAAGGCACAGCTTCCACTTCATAGGTTGGTTCTCAGTGTGTGTGCTCCTTGGCCACCATGATTGACGTTTGTGATGACAGTTCTGCTGAATCACCTCAGACCTAGTTTGCTTGTACTGCATGTCTTTTAATGTTATGTGATTGTTCTAATTATGGCACTTTTGTCTTTAAGGGGCAGAATCCAGTTTAAGGTGTGTTATTGTAATGGTACGTGGAAATTTCAGGGAACCCGAGGGCAGAAAGGCAGGTCTCATGAGAAATGAAAGTAGGAATGGGAAGGTTTTCAGGACGCCAAGCGATTATTCTCTCAGGATTCCCATGGTTTTGTTCATCTGTGTGATTCTCTGGAGGATCTAGGTTCTCTGTCTCTTGTTCTGTTTCTCTTTCCTTTTCCACTTGATTGGTTTTCACTACTTGCTGACCTTGCTCATGGCCTCCATCCCCAACATTGTCATGACTTATTAGGTTCAGTATCCACTGTTGACTGGCAATAGATGCTTGTGTCTTGGGTCAAATTCAACAGGGAGTGAGAGGACCAGATTTCTTTGGTTTATCTCTATAGCCAAGCCAGACAAGTTCTCGGCTGCCTTTGAGAGAGGTGCCTCCCCCGTCAAGCAGCTGTGTTGAGTTTGGGGTAGGTCATCTGATGTGTAAACCTGCTTCTCTTGGAGACTGCAGAAGCATCAGGTAATAAAATATATATACGTCATTGCATTTTAATCCTGATCACTCACGACATGTTTAGTTAACCAACAGTTGTACAGCTCTCACTCTTTGCAAGACACATTTGATGGAATTTACAACCATGAGTAAAATATACCTGGGGAGAATTTATAATCCAGTGGAGGGACAATAGCCAATTATCCAAAACAGTTTATTCTCTAACAGTCTTGAAAATAGAGTACATTTGTAGTTGTATCTTATGCTATGATTGAACGTCCTACTTATTATCTGACCTCATTTTTTAAAAACATGCTTCTCGTGAAACTTTTCAACGGCACATCGTGTGGATTACTTTAGTTGAAAGTATTTTGTTATAATAGCTATAGTGGCATAATTGTTTCGTGGCAAACATGGCTAATGTGGAATATTTTTTTTTTTTTTTTAAAGATTTTATTTTTTCCTTTTTCTCCCCAAAGCCCCCCGGTACATAGTTGTGTATTCTTCGCTGTGGGTTCCTCTAGTTGTGGCATGTGGGACGCTGCCTCAGCGTGGTCTGACGAGCAGTGCCATGTCCGCGCCCAGGATTCGAACCGACGAAACGCTGGGCCGCCTGCAGCGGAGCGCGCGAACTTAACCACTCGGCCACGGGGCCAGCCCCGCTAATGTGGAATATTTGTAGACTGAGGTATGTTTTCAAAGTCCAGAGGATTATCAGGAGTTGGGGAATTAGAGCCCAGGGTCTTTAAATGCTTATCTTTTTATTTTTGAACTTAAAGCTGATATTTGAATAGATGGAAAATATGAGTGATGAAAATCTTTGATCATCTTAATGGTAGATGTCTTTAAAGTGTAAATTAACTGCTAATTTAATTCACTGTAATGCTATGTGAAGTGATGTGTTTTTACTTAAAAACTTGTAATTTTGATGAAAATATGCAAATTTTTAACTACATGTAACCTTCTGGTTATATTATTGTGCCTTTTAACACAGTTCTTGCATAATACCAAACTTTTTTTCATTAAAACATTTTATTTATTATTTTCAATTACATTAAAATAAAAACTAGAGAGAAACCAGAAATTTTATTACTTACACAGTTGTCTATTTTATGACCACAAATTTCAGGATGATTATACAATTATTTTTCATGTATTTCTGAATTAGGTAAATATTTCACCTCTTCATAGAAAGTAGGTTAAACCACAGGAAATAAGTAACGGCCGGAAACTTTGTTGTGAATATCTGAGAACAACAGGTAATCAAACTACTTAAATACTATTCTATAGTTGTGAATAAATCCCCGGAAGATGTGTCCATTCATATCCTACTTCTCTGCTTTTTTGTGTTGAAATGAAATTTTTGTTTAAGTTTTTGCCTCTTGTATTTACTTCCTTTTTTAAGGTTTCTTTTTCCGTATCTGCTAGAGGCACGTAATGTTGCTGCCCTTACAAGATTTTTATGAAGTTCAAATGAGAATAGAGGTAACTGTGTTATTTAGCAGTAGATTCATCGGTGTTTGGGTTAATTATGCTAACATGACAATAGACATTTCATTCTTAAAATTTAAAATTACTGTGAGCCAACAAAAATATCCATATATTAACGTCTCTTATTTGTAGTCATATGATAACATATAGAAGCCATATTGGGGTCATTGCCACATGAGAATTCCTCCTGCCCTTCCCAGTCCACCATGTGGGTTTCCTAGTTGTGGCCATAAATATTTTTTTTTGTCTATGGTATGCACAAATTTGAATAGTATGATGGTGTTCAGCCTTTTAAAATTGAAATGTGATGACTCAAATTAAAATATGGAATGAAGGTGAAACTGCATATTGCTTAATATTCAAACAATAATTGAAATTATCAATCAGTTAGGAAAAGGACACTATTAAACAACTTGAATATAATGTGGGAGAGGAATAAGATGATTCATGATTGGACAAGGAGAAAGGGAACTGACGTCTTTTGTATTTTCAATGAGTTCTTGAAGCAGAAGGCAAAAGCGAAAGGCGAGTATTAAACTTAAAAGGATCTGAATCAGGCAGGGCGAGTTTGGTTCTGTCAGCGAGCACTAGGCGCAAGAACTTCAGCCCGCGTGCCCGTGACTCAGCTGACAGGTGGGACATCCGTGATGCCTGTTGTGTTAGTTGGGTTATGAGTTCGACAGCTTAGACAGAGAGAGACCATGCGATGGTGGCTTGAACAAGATAGGGAGTTCCTTTCTGTCTCATGTAGAAGTCCGAGCTGAACGTGGTTTTGAGAGTGGGCGCCAAGCGTCTTTGCTCTCAGAGGTCTTTCTCATCGCTCTACCATGCTTTCACAGTGGTTCTGAACCCTGTCTATACCTTAGATTCATCTGGGGAGCTAAAACAAGGAGAGCAAAAAAGGACTCCTGGTACTATCTCAGAGTAGAATTTAATCTCTGAGAATTAATATCACCCCAGACCTACTGAATTGGAACCTGTGGTCAGACCTTAGTCCTAAGACCTCATCCAGCTGCAAGAGAGGCTAGGAAAGAGTTTCTAGCTGCAGGCAAGCTTGCAGCTAAAACTGGGTTGGTTTTATTACTAAAAAGAAGGTCGATACTAGGGGATGATTAGTTGTTTTTTTTTTCTTACCTGCAAATTAGTTTGAGACACTCAACAATAGTAATGATTTAGGTCAATTAGTAGAGAAGAAAAGAGTGATGGAGTGTGAGGCAGTTAGCATGGATGAAATTGGGGCGGTGGTATACTGAATACCTGCAGGAGGCACGGACGCCCCTCCACCCGCCAAGAGTCAAGCCAGGGAAAAGAGCCAGGTCTTCCCAGAAGTGGAGGGGCTCCTGGGAAGGGGCAGCTCTGCCATTTAGGAAAGTGGGCTCAGGTTTTACAGATCCAGGTAGAACTCTAGACTTTTGAAACGTCAGCCAGATTTAATGTCTTTAAGTTGGATATGGATTAAGAGCTACTAACTTACAAATTCTGACCTTGATTTTATGGCACAATATTTGGAAAGCAAAGGGAGCAGTTTTCTCAGTGGCAAACTAATGTTCTTCAAAATTCATTCTAATATATAAAAATATAAAGAAAGAAATTAGCTAAAAATAACAAAAGGTATTTTAATATTTAGTAAAACTGTATATGGTTTTTTGGTATTCCTAGGCTATTATACTTGAATTAATTTTACATTAATTTAAATTTACATCTAATTCTGGATGAACTTCTAATGAAATAAGCTGATGGAGTTGGGCTGCTTTTATTTTAACAGGGATTTTGTGATACTGTGACCCCCGACTTTATCTCCACCTCCCTACGACCACCTTCTGTCTGCTGAGGCACTTTGTAAACTTTAAGTCACTGTCCTGATGCTTTTAGTGCTTTGCTCTATGTCGGGTACAAAACCCTCAATGAATAAAGGCTCAATAAATGGTACCTTTGTTACATAATCGTTAGTGTTTCCATCCCTAAGACAAAACATCCACTGATTTTAATTATACTAACGTCAGTAGGAAACCAAAAATAAGAAATATTTCTGACATATTCTTCTCTCAAGTTTTATAAACTAAGTAGATTGAAATAAGCTTTTTATCAACTGACAAGTATTGGATCTCACAGATTGAGTTAATTACTTGGTAGAAAGTTAACTCTTCTGCGTAGTTGATCAAGACATGTTATTCCCTGAAACGGAATTTGTCATGACTTTATAATGACATAAAAATATATTTCTAAAATGTCTAACTTGTATCTTGGGGCATGTTGTTGATCTGGTAATATCTGGCTGTCAGACGCTTTGGCAGTGGCAACATCCTGGATGACAGTGCTGTTGGATTTGATTGGTTTACTTTCTATAATTTAAATTAAAACCAGGACCTTTAGATGCCTCTCAGATAACCATGGTTATGAGCATGGGCCCATTACTCAAATGTGTTCCTTTTTTTGAAGGCAGCGCTATTGGGATCTTGTTTCTAAAATGCTTGACTGGTGAGAAGAAAAGACTGGGCTTGTGGCCTGATATGTGCTCTCAAAGGTTGGATAGGTGTTATAATCTTTTATTGATTTCAGATAAGGTTGTCTTGGTTTTGGTCCTTGTTAATGAGGATGGGGAAATACTAAGACTTTGTGAGTGCTTAAAATTCTCAAATTACTGTGTTTACAATGCATTCATTGTGTGGCGCTCTGTAGAGACATTCCTCTGAACAAGGGCAGGATGCTGTCCTGCTGCCCCCTGGGTTATTTGAAGAGGGACAGAGGCTATGGTGTCTGCATCCGACTCCCACCCTCCACCTGCTGCTGTTTTGTTTGGCTGAAAATGGTGGGTCCAGGAAAGCAGTTGAGAATTAGCATAGAAAGGGTGATAATTTCATCAAAATTTAGCAATTGAGATATAATTTTTATAAATGTCACTGTTTTGACATTTACCTGTCTCTGGGAAATGATTAGTTGTTATCCCATATATAATCATTTGGCCGCTTCTAAATATGGAGGAAAATATTTCCTGAATCAGCCATCTTAATTGTCTTTGAAAGAATTAACTGAAGTTGTTATAAATTCATCCTATCATCCAATGCAAACTTTCAGATGCTATTGAATATATATATATATATTTTTTTTTGCTGAAAAAGATTTGCCCTGAGCTAACATCCATTGCCCATCTTCCTTTTTTTCTTACATGAGCCACCACCACAACATGGCCACTGACAGACAAGTGGTGTGGTTCCACACCTGGGAACCAAACCCAGGCTGCCGAAGTGGAATGCACTGAACTTTAACCACTAGGTGATCAGGGCTGGCCCTTGAATATTTTTAACAAAGTAAAGTAGACTGGTTTTAGGGTGACTTAGCCACTGATAATGATTCAGTTCATTTTATGTTTATTAAGAAATGTATTAAAAATGAGAATGACACATTTATGGAGAATTCATACATTCCTCTGAGTTGATGTAATACATCTATTTTAGGCATAATATGTATATTTTGTAATTTGTGAGAAAATTTAACTTTGTTATGTTTCTCAGTAAACCAAAGACATTCGTCTGTCTTTGATTTGTCAAAGGACGAAAAGGAAGATTTTTGTCACTTGATTTATTGGATTTTTTATTATTTTCAATCCCCCCAGTCAGACAACAACAATTTCTTTTAACACTTTACTACATGCTCTGAAGGGAGTTCCTCTGTTCTGTATTTAGCTCACAGAAACGGGGTTTAATAAGGGAAATCAAAAGTAGTCTTGTCACTTCTTATAAGTGAGAATGGGCTGGAAATCAGGTTGGGCAGAAGGCAGTGTGATGTCACCTACTAGAAGGGAGTTGAGAATCATGGGCGGGGGCAGGATGGTGGAGGGTAAAGGTCATGCTCATTTTTAAGAGGAAGGTGGGCATGATGGCAGTAAATTAAACGTTGGCCAGGTAAGACTTGAGAGAGGCTCGCATGTTGTGATTGACGTGTTGGTCTAACCTAATTACTTATATTTCCTGAGAGGAAATTCTAAATTTCTTCTGGCAAGAAATAGTGATTTTTTTATTCTTATGCAAGTAATAAATATGTTGATTTTGAGTTCTTATATGCCTTCTGGGCACAAAAGAAGAACATGAAAATGGCTAATGCCTTGGCTTAATCCTGGCTTCATTATATTCTCTTCTTGGTCAGAAACCCCTTCTGCACTGTTGTACTGGGAGCCTCGATTGCACCTTTGACATTCCAAAGCCCTTTTCACTACGGTCTGTCTCCATTCGCCTTGAAGGTGCAGCAGCCACAGCTACTTTCATTAAGGAAAGTTTGATAGGCAATCATTCATTTTTTTTCATGTCTTGTTGGTAATCAAAGTCTAATTTTTAGCTTCTTTTCTCTTTTGCATTTCATTTTGCCTTTTCCTTAGAAGATATTGGCAAATAATTAATGTTTAAAAAATATAATGTCTTCCAATCTTATGGTTGATTCAGAGTGAATCTTTTATGGATTTCGTGCCCCACATGGAGCAATAGTCACTAATGTATTCACAGTGAGAATGCACTTTAGAATTAATTATTTGTGTCATTCATCCAGGTATTCCCTTACTATTAAATTATTGCTTTCTTATTCAGTATAAATTTGCTTTTCACTGTTTTTGGTGTGACCTCTGTCATCAGTCAATAGTTAAAAATTCCCTTCCAGGAATTCCCTCTGATTGTCTACAACATCTTGGTGTGAATAATAGGCGTACTGCATAACTTGGAGAGGCGGCCCTTTGATATTCAGTTTATTAATTATTTATGGAGTGACTGTGGAAGGGGAGTAGTAGGAGATACAAATTAGTAGAAAATACTGTCCTTTCAGGAGTTCGGGATCTTATTGTGGAGACAAGGTGTGCTTGGAAGTCCGATTTTGGGCCTAAGGAAGCAATACGGGCTTATGTGCTTTAGGATGGGTGTGGGTGAGCATAAGAGACGTTAGAGAGCCAGGCCTGAGCCAGTCTATTTATAATTATTAGAATTTGACTGGGCCACCAGGCAGGGCAAGAGCAAGTGAGAAATGGGAAAATAATGTCATGAATAAGCGCAGTGTGAGAGAAATCTCTACACTGAGGTGTAGTGGAGAACATGTTTAAAAATAGAGGAGATTGAATATGAGGAAATTGAATATGAAGAAAGACAAACAAATCTAGGTATTTTTCCTGGAGGTTTCCCTCTTTTGTTTGAACTATGGCTATTTGAATAATCCATTTCAAAATTCCACTTAGTCAGACAGGCAAGGGAACTCTTTGTAGGGCATAAAGAGGTGGTCTGGCAGACACTATTAAGGATGTTACTTAAACGATAAAGAATCATCTTTGAAAAAGGTGTGATCTTTTCTTACCTGGGAAAAGCAAGAGAGAAAGTGCCTTGAACACATGTATGAAAATGTATTTTAATGTTCCCAATTAAATAAGCATGAAAGAAAATATGGTTAATATAAAGTAAGAACTGAAGTGAACAGAGTGGTTTTACTTACTTTACATGCTGTCATCTAGTTAATTTGCTGCATTTCATTTTCCTTGTAATCATTTGAAGTCATGTTTTGCAATACCTTAAAATTTAAAAAATACCTAGGAACTGTGACCAAGTCTGAAGACCCTCTTTTTTTTAATGGTGCCATCTGGTTTAACATCCACTGGCCATCTTCAGGATGTTAGTTTAGAGTGTGTGAAATCAACTTTACATATTTTATATGTTCAAGCAATCAGCTATAAAGCATGAGTGAATTTGAGGCTCTGGAATCTATTCATCCAATATTTAGTAAATATTACCTTTCTTTGTTAGGGTATCCCAGTGAAAATTTCAAAGAAAACACCAGGAAACCAAAGAAATGTCCCTCTGGTCAACTCTGTAAACTTGTAGGAGGTGATAATAAATATTTCAAGGACAATTCTGACATCCCCACCAGTGTCGCATAGCCACCGACATCTGGGCAGTGACAGTAGCTGATGGACCATGTTGGCACAGCAGAAATTAGAGATGGACTAGCTCAGTCGGAAGAAAAATGTCATGCTGCTAGGAGCTGAGAAGCAGAATGCAGCAGTGGCAGCCTGTGCAAACAGTGGCTGTTAACATTAACAGACAGATCGAATCCAGTGAAGCTGCAGGCACCCATCAATCGCTCTGCCATACTTGTATGTACAGGAAGTTCTTTCCTGTCAGCAGTAGCTTCCTTCAGTAAAAGGGAAGGGATGTTTATGTTCATTCTCATGCTTCTGTTGGGCAGTGACAGGTAAGGAATGCACCTTTTGTTGTGAAGAGTAATGCAATTTTAATGTGAATTTGACCTTGAAGGTAAAGAATTGCTGAGCCATCACTAACAGCATCACTTAAAACAATTCTGCAGCTGGTTCATCCTCATTCATCCCTGATCTCACACACTTTCAAGATGGCAGCCCAGGAGTCACAGTGGGTTTTAGGGCAATGGAATCAAAGGCCTATGAACTGTGAAAGTAAAATCATGGTCATATCATCTGCTTTTGCTGTTTCATTGTCAACGCCTTGGCTGCTGAGCACTCCTGGAGAAAATCATCAAACTGAGTGTTTTTACTGGCCTTGCTCCCATCTGTGTTCCTTCAGTGGCGATTCTAAAAATCTCACCACCCTTACTAAGCCCCAATCCCATCCTTGGCCTCTTAACTCTTAGTTGATCTTCCTAGCTGCCTTACGACAAAACAAAAACCTTAAGGCTTGAGTAAACTTTCTCAATTCCTCAACTTATTGTCTAAAAAAATTATTAATTTCTGCCCTCAAGACTTGGAATTGCTTCTCCTACCCAGGGATAATTCTTCCATTTGTCCTTTCAACTCATTTTCTTTCTTCTACCCCAGAGCTTTTCGCTTCATATGCCCCATCTCTCTCCTATCTTCAACCTCTCTGCTGTACTGACTCATCTCAGCTCTGCCCTCTTAAAACCAAGCAGGAAAAACAAACAAACAAACAAACCCTCCTGTATTTCCACCTTGCATTCATTTCTCTGCAATTCCCTAGTCTTCTCCCTTTCTCCTTCCTTAGACAAGTTGCTTAAATCAGTTGTTTAAAGGAGAATATGGTGATCTTGCTTCACCTCCTCATCCTGCAGTTTAGGTTTCTGCCCTTATAATTCATTGAAGCTTCTTTGACAATTTGAAAAGTTCACCAAGGACTACAGTAAGAGGAAGAATTGCATGGCAAATGAGAAGATCCTTAGGCCAGAATGAGGGACTGTGGCAGAGCTGACGCCAGGTAGATAAGGTGGCCCTTGGTGTTAAGTATTTTTTATTGCCCTTTTTTTTTTTTTTTTGGTGTGTGTACATTTCATTCCATTTGGATGACTACACTTAAGCATTCACTAAGAGCCTGGACTTAGATGCAATCTCTCAGGAGTACTTTAAACTCAATAAACTAAAAATATTGTCCAGAATTCCTGTCAGTTATATAGGAAACTACATGTTGGTGAGTGGTTTATAAACTCAGATAGGTCAAATATTTTCAGTCATGGTTCTCCTATAATTCTACCATAGCAAATAAACATATGCATTATCTGTGGGATGTCTCTATCCATTTATGTATAGTTGGTACTCAACCTAGTTCCAGAAAGTTCTTGGATAAATGACTGTAGCACAACTTTACTACTATGGTGATCGAGGAGAAGGACATTCAGAAGAGGCTAAGGAAGACAAGCGCTTCAGGATGGCAGAGTGCAAACAGTGATACAAGACATAGGAAGAAGAAAACTGACACAGTTTCAGATGGAATAGGCCAACTGGGCTGTATTTGATGGAGTGGTAAAAATCCTAAGAGCTTAGTTTAACAAAGAGTAAAAAGTCGAGGCTGAGACAGTAAGTGTATACAGCTTAATCAAGAAGTTTAGCTGTGAAATGTATTGGAGAATTTGGATATTTGTTGGAATGAGCTTGTCCTGTAAAGGATTTATTACATATTGTGTATTATGTATCTACAACTTGCAAAACATGTTCATCTGCATTTTTTCCTCTTATCCTCCTGAAGATTCTATTAGGTATGACAGTAAAATTGTTACTGTTATCCCCATTTTATAGATGATAAAATCATTTCAAAGCGTGAGTTGCATAGCCCAGGTAAGTAGAGAGTAGATGAGCTGGGATTTGAATGGAGGTTATCTCAGTCCACTCCTATCATCTTTCTCCTTTATGAGTTGTCTTCTCTTTTAATTTAAGACTATTTGATAACAAAGGCAGAAAGGAAGGACCTTCTGAAGATAATGAGAGGGAAGATGCTGGGAAGGGAAGGGCTGATGTTGAAGACAAAATCTCTCAGGACTTGGAGGCAACAGTTCTAGAATATGGTGGGTGGGAGCTGCAGTTACCCTGAAAGAGGAAGAAAGAGATTCATTCTCTGTTATTTCAGGCAGGTTGACAGGTTGAATACAGGGTCTGGGATTTAGAACGTGTTAAGTAGAGAGCCTTGGTGGATGTGGGGTGGGGACCTCATTCCATGTAGTCCCTGCATAAAGCCTGACACAAAGCCTTTGACGAACATTCTCTGGTGATGATGCAAAATAATACATTTGGCTGAAGGTTTTAATTGGGTCTTATATAATCATGCAACTGTGTATTCATGACTACCGTTTGCTAATCTTCATGGATCACTGAAATATAAAAACCAACCACTCGGCTCCTTCAGTTGCCAGGTTTTTTTCTATATTGATCCCGATGTTTCTTTCAGAACCAGCTCTTGCAGGATAAAGAACTTAGAGATTTGTATACTCTCACCATGTCCCTTGGATTCTTGCCTAGCTCCTCAATGAGAAGAGGGAAATTGTGCTTCTGGAAGCATTAACTGGCTCATTCCCCAGGATCCCATTTCTTTACTGCTAAAAACTCTCATTCTGATAAACTTACAAATGATCATCTATCTCATAGATGCTTAAGGTGTGATTTTTATGGTATAATCTTGAAATATGACACCTTGTAGACATCTCCTATGTTTCAAAATGTTAATATATCAGTAACATGTGTATTACAACTTTGTTTCTTAAATTATCCTCTTTAGGTGCTACTAAATTATGAGCCTCCAGAGGGTGAAAGGTACACGGTTCTGTCACGTAGAGAGCACCGTTCAGGCATTTGGTAAATGCTTTGGTCTGATTTTTAAAAGTTACTAGAATACTTTCTTATACGACTTATTTTTATAATCTAACAGTGACCCACATTCTTCATTATATACTTGCTTTGGATAATTTAACCCCTTTGGTTAACCATTAATTTTTTGTGTTCTATTATTTTCCACTCTGAAAGATTAACTAAATTGATAAACCAAATTAGTGTTTATATGGTTCTAACTGCTATGATCATTGATTCCTCTTTTTTTTGTTTTTTCCTTTTTACAGAAATCATTATTCTTTTCATTTCCCTCTCCAGTTACACACTGTTTAAGATATGTATATAGATGTATGTATATATTATTAAGGTGCATGTATGTACACATCTATATCTATCTATAAATGGTAGCTATGCCTTGAGTTTTAAATGGTTGATTTCTATAGCATAGTTTACTGCTCCGTAAGCAGGTTTCCTGTACCATAGCATTTCATCGTATATAGCAAAACTAGTGTGTAGTTTTACAGGGCTGAAATTGATGTTAAAACTAAAGATGGAAGAGTACTTAGCTTACTGTCTTAATCTTACGCCATCCACCTCAAAGCAATATTGCAGACAGATGCAGGGGGAAAAAATAGTGGGAAGGCTGTTGTCTTTCAGAAGAAAAAATTGCATAGTGATCTTCTGAAAGCCTCTCATCGTAGAATAAAGGATGTAATCTCTGTATTAAACACAGATGGAGTATTTCAGTCTCAGCTGTCATGGAAGACTCTCCACATTCGTTTGGATTGCACACCTTTGGGGCATGTATAAATGACAGTGATGGAACTACCTCTTTGCTGAGCTGGAGTGCACAACATCCCTTTATCTGTGCCATCTGGTGCTACGGAGGATGGCAAATTCTCTCTGCTGCGATTCTTCTTTCTTTGGGATTTGTAGACTTCTTTAGCATAGAATGTGTTTGACCAAAATCAGTCTTTGCCCAGATTTCAGTGGCAATAGCTTGGAAGGAGAAATGGAATTCTAAGAGACTGGAAGTGTAGGAGGAGGCAGGGAAGTGAGCTGACACACTATTAGATATTCTGGAGGGTGGGGGTTGATTGCAAATATGGCGCTTTGTCAGCCCCAACTGTCTCCCTCCCTAGTGATGGAAAGCTCTTGCTAGTTTTGTTTTTGCCATTTTTTACTATTGCTTGCAGCATAATAATAAACAGCCTGTGATGCTCTGCTTCTCACCCATTGAAGCAATGAATGGTGGTTATTCTGCCTCTGGGTTCTTACTTTATTGTGGATTCCAAAAATTGGTTTATAATGCTTTATCACCACTTACTCAATTTATCTATTTTAAGACTAATCAAAAGATTTATTGGCTGTTGAATCTTGCAATAACCTGTTCTTTTATTGTCTACCATTGTCTGTGATTAAAATCAAAACAAAGATTACATTTTACTAACAAAAGAACATTCCTTGTATGAATTATGAATTAGTGATAGAAGGTTTATAAATTATTAAGTTTTAATATTTTCCTCAAAATTGGGCTTAGATTATGTAAAAGCAATCGAGACCCACTTAAGAGTTTATCTGCTATCACAAAATACGAATGCAAGAGATGGCTTTTTCTCTGGGTTAGTTCAGCAGAGAATTGTATTGGGCAGAACTCTATAGAGTTCTCATTAACAGAGTCACCTTTGGATTGGCTGAGCCCTGGATGCAGTCATGAGAAATGTGAGTGAAAAATTTAATCAAATAAAACTTGGAACTCTTTTAGTTAAAGTTGAATGAAATGAAATGATTTAAATTTCAGTTAAATATACAGTTGTGTGTGGTCTAGCTGGAAGTTATGTTCCTTTTGAGTTCTTCGATGGTGTAGTCTGGTTAGAACGTGTCCTGACCACATTGGGTTGCGGTTCTGCTCCACTGCTTTCTTAGCTCTGAGCACTTCAGGTGCATTACCTGAACTCTGACACCCTTTCGGTTCCCCAAAGGTATTTACCTTCCCCTTTTCATATGGGAAGAGTAGGTGGAACCAGCAAGTTCTCCTTTTCAGTCTTTGCTTGCAGGGAGGTCCTTTTCTATAAGCCTACTAATTGACCCTTAACTTGCCATCCTCTTTCGACATAAAAAGTGATTGTGTGGTTTTTTGGGTATGGTTTTCAGAATAAAAAGGTGAAGTTGCCATGTCTAGCAATGTACAACTTGGGAAAAAGCCAGGAAATCACTACCCTTCTAATTGCACATACATCAATCCATTGCCACCCACAAGCAGTTCTGCAAAAGAGCAGGGCTGGGTTTCAGAAACCTGACCATGATTCTCAGACACAGTGTCACTTCCAGGACCTACTCAGCAAAGAGTCTGCCAGGAGGTAGGGTCTGGAGGGGAAACAGCACAGTTTTACTCTAGCCATGGTTTTCTCTGGACATGCTCAGCGTCCTGATACTCAGCTGCTGGGTAGGGAGCCTTTGATAGGAGACCATTAATTTATTAACCTGCTCGTAGTCTAACGTTGCAAGACATTTTCACAAAAGAAGAAATAAGGATTTCATTTTTTTTCCCCCTTTGGAGACTCTTCCAAATTTAAGCAGTTAGTAGGAGCCTGAGAACACATTTGGTTTAGGTAAAAACCCTCTTTTTTGTCTAATTCTAGTGACATATCAACCTTAATTATGGATATTTGGACTAGGTAAACATTAGTATTTGGATGCTCATCTTTACAAACCTCAGTAAGCTTCATTGTGGAGGTAAAAGATTGGAGAAAAATGCCTGATTTAATACAAAAATTTTTCAATCCAAGCCTACCTGATTTCTGCCTTTCTGACCTGACTTTACAATGAGGGCACAAACGGCACCCCAGCCATGAGCATCACACAAGTTTCTGTCCCACTCCGGGCAGGGCACCTGCCGTCATGGTGCTTTCACAATAACTATTTTAATGAGTGTTTGTTAAAAGAGTTCACACAGGAAGACACAAGCAAATCTTGTTGTTTCCCTAACCTAAAAGAATCTAATGAAGTCACCTCAAAGGGAGTCAGAAGCCAGTTGGACGGGGCTTGCACTGGTGAAATTTTGGAATTTTTAGCATCAAAAAGGAATAAAGACTATAATAGGTTGTAACATAGGAAATTTTAAAAAAAAGGAGAAAGTAGCGATATACGTAGTGATATATATCAATACCACTTACAATAGCATCATAAAACATGAAACGCTAGGGATAAAGGTGGCAGAATATGGGCAAGACTTGTACATTGCAAACTATACGACATGACGGGGAGATGAAGGAGGACCTAAATGAATGAAGGAAGAGAGAGAGTCTTTATGGATCAGACTACGCTTATTAAAATGCTAATCTTCCTCAAATGGATTATGTATAGATTCAACACAACCAGAACAAAACCCAGCAGGAGTTTTTTTTTTTGTAGGAATTGATTAGCTGATTCTAAAATTTATGTGGAAATATAAAGAACGTAGAATAGTGGAAATAATTTTGGGGGAAAAAACCTGAAGAGAACTTACAGTACCTGATTTCAAGACTTCTATAAAGCTACTTAAGTAAAAACATTGTGCTATTGATGTTAGGATAGAAAAATATGTCAATGACTTGAATAGAACTCAGAAATAGACAAATATTTATATGTCTATTAATTTTTGATAAAGATGCTCACCCAGGTAATTAAATGGAGGAAAGGATAGTCTGGTCAGAAATGGTGCCAGTAAAATTGGATATTTATATTCAAAAAAACCCATCCATATGCAAAAATTTATTTAAAAAGGGTCATACATTTATAAAATTTCTAGAAGAAAGTGGAGAAAATTTTTCTATTTTAGATTAGGCAAATATTTCTTACATACAATATATCTGAACCATAAAAGAAAAAAATGATAAATTGGACGTTATAAAAATTGAAAACTTTTGTTCTTCAAAAGACACTATTACGAAAGTGAAAAGGCAAGCTACAGACTGGAAGAAAATATTTGCAAAACATATATTCGATAAAGGACTAGAATTTGGAGCATACAAATAACTGTTACAAATTAATACAAGAAGTCACCCTGATTAACAAATGGGCAAAAGATTTGAAAAGACATATCACCAAAGAAGATAGACAGATACTCAATAAGCATTTGAAAATGAACCATATCCTCAGTCATCAGAGAAGTGCAAATTAAAACTACAGTGACACCACCATGGCAAGTGAAATAGCTGAAATTTACAAAGTGAAAATAGCAAGTATTGGCAGAACAACTGGAATCTCATGCATTGCTGGTGGTAATTCAGAATGGTACAATCATTTTGGAAAACAGTCTGACATTTTCTTAAGTTAAACCTATGCTTGCTCAGCCGTCTCATCCTTAAGTGTCACCCCAAAAGAGATGAGACATATGTTCACACAAAGACTTTTATGTGAATGTTCATAGCGACTTTATTTATAATATCCCCAGACTGGAAACCACCCAAATGTCCATCAACTGGTAAACAGATGAACAAATTGTGCTCTGTCTATCCAATGAGATTCTACTCAATAAAATGGAACAACTATTTTTACCTACAGAAGCATGGATGAATCTCAAAAGCATTTTGCAAAGTGAAAGAAACCAGACACCAAAGGCTGCATACTATAATATGATTCTATTAAATGAAATTCTAACAGGGCAAAACTATAATCATGCAAATTAGATCAGCGGTTTCTGGGGGTGAAGTGAGGGAATTAACTGCACAGGAGCAGGAGGGAGCTCTTTGGTAGAAATGTTCTGTATCTTGACTGTCGTAATGGTTGCACAACTGTATACATTTGGCAAAACTCAAACTTTACCATCGCAATGAGTGAATTGTATTGTACTTGAATTATTCCTCGATAGAGCTATCCGGAGTACTACCATAGTGGTGTTTGAAAAAAAGAAAAGAGGAGAGGATTAAAAGAACAAAACATAACCAAAAAAAAAAAAAAAAAAAGGTCCCTTCAGGACTCTGGAAACTAATAAATTTAGGAGAAATTATGGGATTTATAAGATCCCCATTTTGAAAATCCTAAAGTAGCGATTGATTCAATCAAGAGTCATCAGAGACTGCTAAAACCATTTGAGGAGGTTGTCAGAGAACAAGACATTTACAAAGATTACCCTACAAACTGTTGACTACTTTTATTGGTAAAATATGCCTTTCCCATGGTACCTATGCTTGTCACCAAAATCCACATCACTGGCAGTGGGCAGCCTGACACCACGGGCTTCTTGATGTGTACCCAGTGAAATGTTCTTGCTCCAATTGCTTACCTGGAATCTAAACCAAACTCAAATTTCAATCTAATTTTCAATTTATAGGAAATATGAAGGATAGAGGAACAAGTTAGTGACACCATAACTAATAATTGGCCAAATATAGGACTTTCTACAAGCAGTTGGACTGGACTCTTCAAAAAGTTATGTCAAAAACCCCAGGAGGGGGGCTGGCCCCGTGGCCGAGTGGTTAAGTTCGCGCGCTCCGCTGCAGGCGGCCCAGTGTTTCGTCGGTTCGAATCCTGGGCGCGGACATGGCACTGCTCGTCAGACCACGCTGAGGCAGCGTCCCACATGCTACAACTAGAGGAACCCACAACGAAGAATACACAACTATGTACCGGGGGGCTTTGGGGAGAAAAAGGAAAAAAAAAAAATAAAAAAAAAAAAAATAAAAAAAATCTTTAAAAAAAAAACCCCAGGAGGGCTGAGGGAACTCTTCTAGACCCAAAGGGTCAAAAAGACAACCAAACACAATGTATGAAAGTTGATTGGATTCTGATTAGGAAAAAATATTATGAAAGACAATTTAGGGCAAATAGGAAAATTTGCAGATATAGATGGATGTTAGACAAAATGGGATTTTGTTGATGTTTTTGGTGTGACAGTAGTATTGTCCTTAGAATTTCCTTCTTCTTAGGAGAAGCCTGTTGTGGTATCATGTTGTCTGTGACTTTGGTTCAGAGATAAAGGAATGACACACTCCCACACACACAGATAAAGCAACTGTGGCAGAGCATTAATCATTAAATCCAGGCGGAAGTGTATGAGCATTCATTTTACTCAACTTTTCTATGTGCTTAAAACATTTTATGATAAACAGTTGAAAAATAAGATCTATAATCTCCTTTTGGGGAAGATTGTTCTGAAAAGTAGTGCATCTCAAACTCTGAAACTTTTAGTTCTTAAGAGATATGGCCAATTGAGAAGGTACATCCCTCTTTTCCTGACTTTTCTGAGCATCAAATCTACAGTTTTACTGATGTTAGATTTCTTCATAGTGGGGAGAATCTTTGAGTACAGTAATTAAAATTGGTCAGAAATTAAAGTTTAACTGATTTTTAAGTTAGTTTAGTTTAATTAAAAAAGAAAATGCAGCTAGTTAAAACACTTAAAACTTTAAATCTAATTTTCTGTATGGAACTGATGAGATTAGAGTCCAAGGCTAGTGTATTAGATTTATGTTGTTGGGTGAGAAATTACCGCAAACTTTGCTGCTTAAAACAAGACCAGTTCATTGGTTGGCAGTCCGGTGACTCAGCAGTCTGGGCAGGCTGAGCTGGTTTCTCTGATTAGGGTCTCAGGAGGCCAGAATCATGGTGTGAGGCCAGAATCATGGTGTGAGGCCAGCGGGGGGCTCTCCTCCCGGGCTCTCTGTTGGCAGAATTCGGTTCACAGGAGTCCTAGTGCGGAGGTCCTGTTTCCCTGCTGGCTGTCCGCCAGGGTAACTTTCTGTTCCTAGAGACCGCCTCCACTCCCCCTCATGCGTTCCCCTCCATCTGCAGACTCACAACATCAAGCTCTCCCTCCCTGACTCTTCTGCTACCATCAGGAGAGAACTTGCTGCTTTTTAAAGGCTGGATTGGATTCAGTCCACCAGAAAATCTCTGTCTTAAGGTCACCTTGCCATAGAACATGAAATAATGGTGGCGATGATATGTCATCCCAGGCACAGTTTCCACCTGTACTCAGAGGGGTGGGGGGTTATACTAGAGTGAGTGTCATTGCCATTGTTCTTAGAATTCTGCTTAAGAATTTCTACTTGGATTTCTAGGAGACAGAATATTTTTTGTACTAATGAATTAATCATGTCTGTTTTATCTTTTTTTTAAAATAATGGAGAAAGATATTTTGATTAGAAAAAAACTTTTGGTTTTAATACTGTGTAAGAGGGCAGGCATTTGCTTTCTAAGAAAAAAATTTTCAGCTCTATTTTATAATCATAAGAAATAAGACCATTTTTAAAGGAAATATGCGATCCTCATTCTGTAGTTCTTTGTATTAATTTCAGACTTACTCCCTGAATTTCATTCTCTTGACATTTACCACGTTTCTTCTCAAATTGCTCTTTATCAAATCCAGTCCAGCCATACGTGTATTGCTAGCATGCTGCAAATATCTGTTCCTGCTAATAAGCCAGCCCCAGGATAATAGTGTAAAACAAAGTCCATTTCATCACGCTCACGGATTTGGTGGCTGGGGATTCAGGCGGCCACAGCAGGGGTGCCTCGTCCCTGCTTTGTGATGTCTGGGGCTCCAGGTGCTGGGAACACTTCTGTAGCCAGGGCTCACTCAGAAAGCTGAGTCCTAAAATCATCTAGAGTCCTCTTAACTCACATGTCTGTGTTTGGGCTGGGGTGACCCCGAGGCTGGGCTCAGCTGGGACTGTCATCCCAAGTTCCTACACGTGCCCTGCCCACCTGTCTTGAGCTTCTCCGTAGAGTGGGGTGACCTCAGCATAGTCAAGTGTCGTACATGACAGCCCAAGGTTCCCAGGACAATGGAAATGTTCATCTAAAAATCTTATTTCACATTTTAAATGAGACGTGCCTCGGCATTATTTTCCATGTTTGATAGTTGGCATTTTGTATAACTACCTGAAAGTGTGTTTAGATGTTCTAAGTTATGATTTTGTCTCCAGAGAAAAAGCAACTATGACTTCTAAATCATAAGATGAGACTCTTGGGTGGATGGAAAAATATATATTACATATATATATAATTCCTAGCTAAGTAGCATTTTTACTTCATTTCAAAATAATTGGCATCAATTTGAATAATGCATAGTTTTTTAACTTTAAGAAGATTGCAGCATAATTAAATATGGCAGGTTTTGCTCTGTTCCTGTCTCATCACTAATGAACTGTTAGAATTTTGTAGAGAGGCTAGCTAACAACTTCTGGAAATAGAGTGAACAGCATTAAGAAGCAGTGATATAAAAGAAAGGAGAAAAAGATACAATCAGTTTTTATAAAATTAAATAATATTTACCCTGTTCTTGGCTTTTGCACAGAAAAGAAGGAACTTTTGTTTATGTTACCTAAGTGAGATGTGGTGATGCTGAGCTACTCCTGTGACAGACCGCAGAAAATGAGGACCCCGTGCACCTGTCTTCCTGGGTCTTGAACCAACAGAAACTTGTTACAGCAGCTACCGACTCTCCTCACAAGACCCCTGACGCTGCACTCTTAGTTCCTTCTTCAGTGTTTCCTGACATTGTAGTGTTTTGTTTAAATTTACAGGTCCGTATTATTCTTTCAGTAGCTTTTAGATTGTTAAGACCATGTTTATGCTTGCTAATTTGAGAGGAAAAGTCTTGGAAAATCTCCTGAGTTGGCTTTCCATTTCTACCACCCTTATAACAAATATTACTTCTTGTTTTCGGTTTCTATCCTGTTAGTGTTTAACACCGTAGCTTTCACATTTTGCTTCCTGGTACTTAGCAGATAAAATGTAAAGTCAGTTTAGGGGGCTGTCCCTAGGGACACAAGCCATCCAGCTCCAGAGGAATGCTGTCCCTCCTTTCAACTCCTTTATCACTGTTCTTTCTACTCATTACATACTGGGCTTCTCTGAAAACCATTTTTTCAAGAATTCGCCAAACTTCTGGGCCAGAACAGTAGGATTAAGGGATGCTGACACTTAAAGTCCAGAGGCTCTCTCTGTGGTCCCTGGGCCCAATAGCATCCATATTAGCTGGGAACTTATCACAAATGCATGTTCTTAGGCCTCACCCTAGATCTACTTACTCAAAAACTCTGGGCTTGGGGTCCAGCAGTCTGTATTAACAAACCAGGCAGAGGATATGCATGCTAAGTTTAAGAAGCACTGTCTAAGATTTCTGCTATTGGTGTTAGCACTTAGCATACATTTCACCTTCTTATCCTTCTGCACAAATATTATTATCTATGTAAGACAGTTCGGTATATTATTTTAAATAGTTATTGTGTATGATATGTGTTATGTGTATATACATATCACCATATATTTTTCTTGATTTTGTGTATTAATTTAAAAAACACAAAGAGCACCATTTCTGCCATTGTCTCCTCCAGATTTTGACATGGAAACAAAGAAAATCACATAATAATGAAGACAGAAGTAGACCAGGGAGGGACTCGGTGGAGCTGGAGACTGAGGGACAAGGAGTGGGAAGGAGGTGAGGCGAAAGGGGTAGGACCAGAAGGCAGGACCTAGGAAAGTAACTTGTGTGGGGAGCTCAGCTGAGCGAGCATAGAGGAAAGCTGGTGCTCTGTTGTGTGGCGTTAGTCGAGACTGTTCCGTTCCTGGGATAAGGGGGAGGGGAATCAACATCCTTTCTTTGGTTGGTTCCATCTCGTGACAGTTGAGAACTACCTGTGCCTTTGGCCCAGGGAAAACTCATTCCCACAGTCAAGTAGATTGCACAGTTGTCACTAACTGGGTCTGCATTGTCACTCACATGATTATGAAACTGTATTCTACATGTTGTAGCCCTATAATGTGCGATAGTGTTACACTAAGTATAATATGTCATAGTGCTCTAATATCTGGGTTACGGTTGTGTTACCTGAGTTTGATTAAATGTGGAGCTGGTGTCCGTCTGAAAAGAGGCATCAGTTGCTTTCTTCAGGAACATATTACCGTTGTTCCATCAAGCGAAAGAGATTTCATTTACATCGTTTCTGCTTCCAAAGCTTTTTCTTAGATTTTGTCTTGTTGAAAGTCCACACTTCCTGTTCTGCAGTAGCTTGGGAAGCAACATAGCTTTGAGTAAGTTAACCCTATTTTTAATTTCTTTCTTTTTTTTTTTAAAGTATGTTTTTTGGTGAGGAAGATTGGCCCTGAGCTAACATCTGTTTCCAGTCTTCCTTTTCTTTTCTTCTCTCCAAAGCCCCAGTACATAGTTGCATATGCTAGTATGTGGGATGCCACCACAGCATGGCTTGATGAGCAGTGTGTAGGTTCACCCAGGATCTGAACCAGAGAACCCTGGGCCGCCGAAGTGGAGTGCACAGACTTAACCACTTGGCCGTGGGGCCTGCCCCTAATTTATTTCTCTATTGATTTTTCTTGGAATGATAATTTAGTTATTATTCATAAGTTCAATATAGGCTTTAAAAACATTATCTTTAGTTTTGATGTGTGTACCCGTAGCAGGTGCCCACTAACTACTGGTTAAATAAATGAATGTTGGCTTTGTTAATTTAGTATCAGGTTTGTGTGTGTGTCGGGTGGGGGGGGGTGGGGGGAAGATTGGCCCTGACCTAACATCTGTGGCCAATCTTCCTCTTTTTGTTTGAGGAAAATTGTTGCTGAACTAATATCTGTGCCAGTCTTCCTCTATTTTATAGGGAATGCCGCTACAGTGTGGCCAGATGAGAAGTGCTAGGTCCGTGCCCGGGGTCCGAACCTGCGAACCCTGGGCTGCCGAAGCATAGCACGTGAACTTAACCACTCAGCCACGGGGTCGGCCCTGAGTGTAGGATTTTTTGAGAGAACTTCTATGTTAGACAAGGGCTTGGAAAGATTATTTTTGCTACTGCTCTGCCGTAATTTTTGTATTATATTTTTGCAGTTGAATATTGATCTTTTTGAAATTCTTAATTGCTTATGGATTTTTCAGGTTGATCTTTATTTTATGGTTCCTTGTTTTAAATGTTCCACTTAATTTCAAATGGGAAGAATTTAAAACAAGCTCTAAACTAGGATAGCCTGCATGAACATGTCTTGCAGAATATGCTCTTATATGGCAGTCACTGGTAAGGTTTCTCCTCATGTGCACGTGGAAGAGGAAAAAGACTAGGTAGATTGCTTTGATGGTTTTGTAAACCAATGGCAAGAACGCCACCAGCTTTTTTACCAGCAGACTCACTGGGTTTCTGGCTCTCCGCTTCTGCCTCTCCCCACAGTTTCCCTTGTGGCTTTTCCGGTTGTGTCTCCCCATGCTTGTCCTCGGGTTCTCATTTTCTACACTCCTCTCATGGGTCTGTCACTACTCAGTTATCGCCTGTAAAGTAACCTCAGACCATTCCCAGGTTTCTTCCCCTCCCCTTAACCCTCTCAGACTGTAGGCACTGTGACATTTCGGGAGGGAAAGTGTAGAGGGCCAAGAGAGGGAGAAGTCGTAGTTCCTCTCACTGACGAGGGTGTTGACTCGGGTTGGTAGCAAGCACAATCAAGTAGGACCATCTTAAGGAAAAACTGACTTCAGAGCATCTAACGGAAGCCAGGGGTGAGCAAGTGTAAACCTGGACCTTGCGAAGGGAGGTGAAAAGCTATGGGGAAGCCAGCTTTGCGCCCTTCCTCTGTCCATATGTCTCCTCTGCTCTTTTCTCCACCTCAGAGTTGATTCTGTAAAGATGGTTACACCAGAGCAAATGAGGTGTAAAATTACCTCCTTTCTCGAGACTAGGCCTGACTGAATTAAGATCACTGTAGCAGAAGTGTTGCTGAGATTGGCCCAGCTTGGGTTATGGATTCCTCTGCACCTACCCCGCATGCCCTGGACCGGGGGTGGGGTTTACAGCAAGACACAGGGTGGGTCTCAGCAGCCTCCTTCCACTGTGAGGTCACATCTGCTCTGACTCAAGCTGGGCCAAAACAAAGAGAACCCGAGGTTTGAGTTTTTAAGTGATACAAACCTTTTTGAATTTTACGTCATGTTTTCCTAATTATTAATTGCCAGTTTCCAACTGCGAGTTCTTGTTTTTCAGGATGGGAGAGACAAGTGAATGTTTTTAATCAGTGAGGAATGAGAAACTGGGGAGGAAGCAGCTGAAAAATGTGAAAGAAAGAGAGGGTTTAATGGCTGAGACAATGTCCAAGAGGATTCAGGAAGAAAGAATTCCAGGGCCAGTCCGAGGTGCCTCTTGGCCTTGGAGAGAAGGGATGCATTGCTCTCTGAGACCACGGAGTATCAGAGTGACTGTGTGTCAGTTTGGAGACTTGACAAACTTAATTCCTGAGTGGAGACAAGGATGGCAGCTGAAAGTGATAGGACTGAGTAGGGGCCTGGAGGAAAATGGTGCAGCCTGTGGTATCTGAGGTGCGGAGTAGAACCATAAGTAAAGCAAAGGATTTCTGAGGGCGAGACTGAAGCTAAAAGTCCGATATCTGGACCAACAGGCACGATTGGGCTCCATCCTCCCCGTGAACCAGGCACGACTGGGCTCCATTGTCCCCGCGAACCTGGCACTCTGTTTTCAGGAGTGGGGCAAGCAGGTGATTGATTAGCCCACGGTGGGGCTGTTCAGTCAGATGTAGCAGAAGGTCTGAGGGAAAAGGGCCGAGAAAACATAGTTGGCAAGCGAGGGAGTAGTGGGGCTTAGCTGTGCGATCCAGTCTGAGCAGGAAAGGAAGTAAAAGCAAGAAGGGGCAGAAACTTTGTGGAATATGAAAGCTTTAAAGAACTTGAGAGTCTCAATGGTCCTAGCTCACACTTGGTGATTGAGAGATGGAAGACAGAAGACGAAATTCCACAATTGATGATGTTGGAGGTAAACCCATTCTGGGCAATGCCAGGGCCCAGATTATGGCCACTGATTTCTACAGTGATGGTCACTCTCTTGGAAAAGGTCAAGGAACTTGGATGTTGGGCTCTTCAATGAGGTGTCACATGGACATTAATGACAGTAGCTAACATTTCATGACCACCTCTTCCATGCAGGGCACTGTCACCAATTTTTCATATGTAATAATCCTGCAAGGTAGATACTGTCATTTTTATTTTATCCATGAAGAAACTTGAGCCAACGTAAGTAATGTGTCCAAGACTGCACAGCTGGTAAATCCTGAAGATGGAATTTAAAATCGGGCATGTCTGATTGCTTTGCATGCTTATAATTTTGTGTGCTTGAGCCAATTCCTTTTCACTGACAATATCAAAGGTAAATTTTATATAACCTGTGTCAAATTCACAATTAATTGAAATTCTACAATTTCGCAGGGAATTTTTGTTTTCCCCAAAACTGATCTGTTAATTATCTGAAGTATGAAAGTGCAAAGACTCTAACCTCTATCTTTAGAATGGTTATACCACTGAGGGCCATTTGAATATAAAGTGAATAATTTCTCAATTACTTCAGTGTTTAAAAGGCACCATGGTTTCTAAGGGTATTGAAATAGAGAGCTCATCTTAATGACTTTTTCTCCCATATCAATTTTTGGGTCTATGGGAATAATTTCAGTATATTGTAACTATACTCTCACCATATAGCATTGAGGTCTAAGAAATGCTTTATGGATTTTTTTCATTTTTAGGATATCTCACAATAATTAGTAAAAGAGATCTCTCTTTCTCTTAAATATGCTGAATAACATTACATCTTGGGAAATGTTCCAAGATCACAAAGAATATGAGTGGTAAAATCAGTGGCTAAGTTCTGTGGTTTACCAGGCCCCTTCAGCTAGGGATCCTCTCAATTCAAGTTTGATCTAATGAGACCACAAAGTAAGCTTTATCTTCTTTTATTCCAAAAATAAGGCCGCTCTGGAGAACATGTTATAATTAACAAAAAAGAGCAGAGAGATCTGAATTATATTTCTCCTTGGTTCTTGGTCTGGTTTAGCAGATAACCAGGACACCTACCTATAAGAACTTCATGTGTTTCCCTGATAAAAACCGTGCTCAGGCAGGTTCTAATCTAGTACTCTACACAAATAGCTGATAGTTGATAGAGGAAGTTTCAGAACATAAATATTAATTTCTGTCCAGCTGATACCTCATATGGAGCGCTGATGGCTCTGATTTTTCCTTTTTAGGTATTGTTTTAATGCCTAATAAGATAAAGTTCTACATGTGGAAAATATTAAAGTAATTAAAAACATTTGGCTTTTTTGCATATATTTTCTAAAATTAACTGTCTTGTTAACACTCATCTCTCTTGTCTCTAATTGGGTTGAAATGTGTGAAAGGAAATAGCTTTGATAGGGAACTGTTTTTCAAAGGACGGCTTGCCTCTGATACACAGAGAGGAGCTGATACATGGAGCTTTGAAAAAGTTTCCGATGTCAACGTTTTTACTTAGGTGGCACAAGATTTAAATAAGAATTTGCGACATCTCAGTAACTAAGGTTTTTCATGTATCATTTGGAAATCTAAGCATTATCACGTTAGATTAGAGTTGAAAGATGGTGCTCCAAGATCTGATTCTGAAGAAACAGTTTATCTTATTCCTT